TGCCTCCTTTTAAAGTACTCAGGGTCTCTACAACAAACCATGTTCTGGCTCCCAGCAAAGAGGATTGTGGATCTTCTTTAAGTGTTTGTCAAGGATTCATTCTGGTTGAAAACAACTTGTTATCCCCCGACACCAAAATCTGAATTTGTGTAAAGAATTTGATTTCCTCCATTTGCATCCATAAACTTTTGCACTTACAAAACCGAACTGTGCTAAGAACAATTTCTCAGGGATCTCAGGGACACCTTAAGAGTTGAAAAAAAATTAGGGATGCATCAACCTGACTTTTTCGATGCATAAATTCTGAACAGGTGCGACACTGGTGCTTTCCTCTTCCCATATTTAAATACCGCTACCTCAAATCGTGGAAGTCATTCAGATAACACCTATGTAAGGTAATACGAGACTGTAACTTCAGATAACTCATTTACTAAAGGTGGAGATGTTTATAGATTATTTTGAGGCTTATGTTATTATATTTGATCTGATCAGGTGGATGGGATCTGTGCATCCACCTGATCCAATCTGCACAAAAAACATTAGACTCTTTGGATCCAGTTAACTGGGTGGTTTTAGTTACAGAGCTGTTAATTTCACCTTTACGGTAATGTTCAAGGCTGTAATTTGTGCTACTACCTCTCACTGCGTTACTGAGGTGTTTCTAACGTTTAGTAGAAGTTAACAACAAAAACTAAATTCATTAAAAGGGTATCATTTCTTGCCAGGCTGTTGTATTATACTGATTCAGTTTTGGCTAGGTGGACTCAATAAACTCACAACTGTCAGTGTAAAAAAATAAACAATGTATATGCTAATGATATCCACCCACATCATTTACCAGCATTAGTCTTAAATCAATTTAACTCTATTTTACCTACAGCTTATCCTAAATCCATGTTAGCTTAACTAACAAGTTGTGCGGTCGCCTGTTACCTTAGTTACCCTAGCTAACTAACTAATAGTTGCTGCAGCAGATTACATTTTTGACACTTAAAGTTTAACGTTAGAATAACACCGAGGCACACCTGGACTACGTTCTCGAGTTTGTTTTAACAGGCGTTAACTTCCACCCTTTTTGCTGGTCAAGTGCTAAGTTAGCTCGCTAGCTAAGTTATGCTAATACAAGTGGAATTTGAACGGTGTTTTAAAATAGCTAACTTAGCAAGCTAACCACACCGCCACTGCTAGCTATGCTAACGTTAGGCAGCTTCTTACCGGGTGATGATTCTGATAGACAGCAACGCAGCAAGGAAGTCCTCCTCTTCACAACACCAATGACTTGGTCGAAACGTCTGAACGGCTACCGGCACCTAAAACTATCTGTACCCGTTAGTACGTTATTAATACTGTGTACTTGTTTTCTCCTGGCTGTTCAGACCCACGAGGTTTTCATCTGCCCGTGCGGGGGTATTTGAGGTAAGGAACTTGCCGGCCGGCTCTAGTAACTTCTCGGTCTTGTTCTTAGGGGGGCTACGGTACCGTATCGGTTTCGCTTCGTTTTTCACGCCGCGTTCATGTACTGAGGAAATTATAGGACTTTGGAAGAACGTAGTGCGCCCTCTGGTGGTCAAATGGGATTTATGTTAAGAGGTTACACATGAGTCAATCAATCAAAAACTTGTTTATTATAAAGTCGTTGTGTAAATCTTACCCACAACAATAAATACATGCCCACACAAACACATGAATACATACATATAAAAACACCATAGTAAATCTTTTTCTTAAATTATAACAATGCAAATAAATATCCAAAGAAGGTTCAAATCAAGGGCAACTGGGTTTGGTTCCTTGGATAACTATGACCTGTATGACTGAGAACAGTCACATACAACGCAGAACCCCTGCATTGAAAATGTTACTTTAGTACAGTAAAATAATACAAACATAATGCCGTTGTTAGAAAATTGCACTGAAAGTATCAAAAGTAAAAGTAAGAAAGTCATTATACAGCAAAATCACTCCTGTCAAAGTTTTATAATGATTCAGTATTTAAGTGGATTGTTTTTGCTTTGGAAAATCCACAATACTGGAAGAAAATTGGTCCATCATCAAACAGTGTTCACTGGTTAAACGCAGAGATGAGTCTTCAATACAATACAGGTTAGGGTGCCACTCAAAAATAAAGTTTCTAATTTTCATCTGCTCACCCCCCAAATGTGTTAAAAAAATAAGTTTCCTAATAATTTTTACTGGCAGCTCAACACTGACAAAGTTTTACAATATTCAACATTTTTCCAATTTTATCATGTAATATTAACTTTAAGATCACAAGTTAGAATAATGTAAAACTCTGCTGCTAACAGTCACTTCATAAGTTAATAATAAACAAGTATTCAAAAGTGTCCAGAGAATGACTGTATTGCAGCTCAAAAAACAGCTGCATGTGTTTTGTTGTAGGCTAGCTCTCCAGCTCACAGAGTAGCTGCAGATTTCTATGAAGTGGACAAAACACATGCACATGTAAACCAGACAGACTTTCAGATAGACCTTAATTATGAAAGTGGCATAAGTGGGCGGCTTTGACTCAGGGTAGAACGGTCGTCACCTTAAAGGAAGGTTGGGAACCCGAAATTGCTCCTGGTGGTTGTGTCATCAGTGTGTGAATGAGTTAATTTCTGTTTCTGATGAGCAGTTGGGTCTCTGCTCATAGGTGGGTGAATGTGATGTAGTGTAAAGCAATTTGAGTGGTCGAAAAGACTAGTAAGGTGATATACAAATACAGCCCATTTACCAATATGTGACAGTTCATTCAGAATTGGGGGCGAAACCGGAAAATTTTCAGTCTTTAGCCGCTGAATCACTGAACCCGGTGGAAAGCTCTGAGAGCCTAAATGAGTACGTCCGCACTGCGCTCCAACAAATAGAAGTGACAGCTGCAGAAGAAGCTCTTGTTAAGTGACTTCTCTTGAAGTGTCCTTCTTTACTGTACCAGAAAATAACATATATATAAAGTATATATAGATTAACTTGACACACAGATGTGACATGGTGGTGCAGTGGTCAGCACTGTCACCTCACAGCAAGAGGTTCTGTGGATCGAGGTCCAGGCCTTTCTTTGTGGAGTTTGCATGTTCTCCCCGTGTCTGTGTGGGTTCTCTTCATGTTCTCCTGCTTCCTCCCACTGTCCAAAGACATACATAGGTTAATTGGTGACTCTTTGCCCTTAGGTGTGAACCTGTGTATGACTTGTTTGTTTCTGTGTGTTAGCCCTGTGATGAACGGGCAACCTGTCCAGGGTTCACCAATGACAGCTGGGATTGGGTCCAGCCCCTTCGCCACTCTGCACAGAGTTAACTATACTACTGACTACGGCTGCAATATTGCTAAGCCAAAAATATTATTCTGATTACATAGTATTTAAACCAAATAATAACAAATCAGAATATGAAAAAGAGCAGTTAAATGATATAAAAAATTACAACAATACATACTCAAGGATTAATTTACTTTGGTAGAGAAATTTTGAATTAAATAACATTTTGTCGCAATGAAAGTAAATATAAAAACACTGAGCCCAGTGCAGTACAGTACCAGTAAATATTAATATATCTGAATGAAACTTCTCACAGTAACTATGCATCATAAAAGGAACAGAATGAGGAGGTGGGACCTGGAAAATGTTGAAAAACACATTGGCCATTACATTGAGTGGCACCCTAATACAGGTGCATCTCAAACAAAAAAAAATTAGCTACGCCTGTAAGTCTAGGCATTCATCAAACTTTGCAATCGGATTTCAAATCCAAATTAAATTCGTATGTACATCCTACTAGTTACAGAAAATGTGTTTTTTCACAAACCAGACCAAAAACCTACCTTTTAAAAAAAAACTGTTTGAGATGCACCTGTACTTTGTTTAGTTAGGGGTTGCCTGTTTTATTTTCGAAGTGAAAACTCCCACAGCTATGAATGCATCATTGGGCAGAAGTCCATTGGTTTCTATTTTAGAGAAAGGAGGGTCAGACTGACAGACTTGGAGTGATCACTTTCTCTTTTGCACTTTCATGTCCATTATTAGGCTACATTTGGGGCAACCTTTTTTTTTGTTGATTTTGCTTTCATTTTCTTTCTTTTGATTTTTTTAAGGTTGCTCGGATGCAAGCACATTGCAAGCGAAGCACTTTGAATTGCCTCTGTGTTTGAAAGTGCCATTGTATCTATGTTTCTCTAAAATCCAGCACACTGTATCTCCAATTTATCAATAAAGGTGTTTTTTTTTTTTGCCTGTTAGTGACTTTAGATTTGTATGAACCCTCATCACACCTTAGTGTGGACAGGAGTTTAAACCAAAGAGCTATTTATCCATCTTGGATTGTTTCATGTGAAGGTAAAAGTGTTTAATATTTTGAAATTTACAAGACAAATGCAATAAAATAAATAAAACCATAAAACAGTGCAAATAAAACTGACCACACACAGTCCAGATTACATAGCATTTGGCCTTTTATTTTGTTTAGCCACAAGGACAAACTTTAACACCATCTCATTTCCTCACAGGGGCAGTAACAAGCATATGTAGAGAATTAATGGATGGATTGATGGATTGATTTTTTTGGTGCAGTTCAAGCTAAGAGTTAAGAAGACTGCAGGTTCAATTGTAGCCTGAACATTCCTCACAAATTGAGAAAACAGTTGTCTGTGTGTATCAGGTTTAGCTGCATTCTTCTGTGATGCAAACTTTCAATTTCCTGTTAAGACTTTGTACCTTAGGTCAAAATGTAAAGCAGGCTAATATTGGTTTATTAAATATTTTCTGTCGACGGGGTCAAAACATCAAAGTAAAATGTAAAAAAGTGTATATAAATATATATATAGACAGCTTCAGCACTACACTGTTTCTGCAGCAGATTGTTGGGTCAGATTTGCGACCAGGCTGGGCCAGTTAAGCCTGGTCCCCACCTTCACCAGCTTTATAAACTTTGTCAAAAAATACTCCATTAACTTTCTATTATAGTCAGTAACTTTGCAATCAAAAACTTCTCTGGAGACGGTCAAGAGTCAGTGCAAAAGAGTTTATTCCAAAACAGGACAAACAAACCAGTACAACATCCCTGCAGGTCAGAGGATGAAGTCAACCCTATGGTCTGCAGACAGCCTTATATATCCCTTCTGGGCTGGTGTGCCCCCCTCCTTTCTTCATGCTGAATTTCTTATCTTCTGCTTTTATGCTGTTCACACGTGTTGTTATACCACTTTTACAAGTTTTCTAGCTTTCATTCATCATTCTGTGTTGTTAACTTTCTATATTTTGTTATATTACAGGATAAGAAACTCATCATTTACACTGTAACTCAAATGTCACCCTTTTTCAGCAGTTATGCGTATATAATTTGACACACAGTTATATTTCTTTAAAAAATAACTACAGGAATAACATATGTTGTGCTATGCCTCTCATTGATGCTTGGTTTCTTACAGTAATCTTGTTGTTATACTGGCTTTTTACTACTTTTGCTTGTCTGGATCTATGCATCCATTTTCTACCGTAGAAACTCACCCACTCTGCCAAGCAGAGTCAGCAAATGCTTCATCAGCAAGTTCACCAAATGCCCATGGGTAAGTTCACTCGAAGTTCACACAGGCTCTAAGCATCAGTGGTTGAAAGTTGACAATCAACCCCTTAATCAGTAATTAAGCATGTAGTCTTAATATCAACAGACTGATACCTCGGCAGTTCATCATATTATAACAACAGTGGATATCAGTAGACCAAAGCATGCACTTGTCACAGCAGATTTTGAACACCTGTAGCCTCTCCTGCTGTCATAAATCTACAGTAGGTAACAGTTGAACAAGGCGTGCATAGTCTCAGTGTCTGCAGTCAAAGCACCCACTCAGGAATCTTAATCACAGTGAACTTGTTACTGCATTCATGATTACAGCACAGCACTTCTAAGTAGAAAATAAGACATAAAGATTAAGAAGTAAGTAAGGATAATTAATAAACTACCTACTAATGATTAATGATTAATGCTAATTAAGGATAATAAAATGATTAAAAATGATGAATTAAGACTGATTACTTATTGATATTGATTAAAGATAATAAAATGATTGATTAAAAATGATGAATTAAGAATGATTAATGATTACTACTAATTAAGGATACTAAAATGATCAAAAATGATGACCTGCCATTTGCTGATCATGCTACTTTCACCAAAAGCCTCACTTTGTGGAATAAGCTGGTGTCTTTTGTACAGTGTGCTAAACACAAGACATCCCTACTGTGATGGACTATGTTTATTAACACATTTTCACTAATTCTGCTTCTACTTTTTAACTTTTGCTGGTGTTTTTGATGATGTCTTGCTGTGCTCACTCACTCTGCTCCCAGAGCACACATGCCTGCTCACACACACATGTGCTACTGCCTCCGGGCAATTAGACACAGAGAGGACCACACTCAGAGCTATAGAGTTTCAACGTTGTGATCTTAACTTTACACTATAAAATAATACCTTAAATGATGCCAATGCAGACCACCACTGCTCTAGCAATTAATGATATCAATTTAGTCTATAATACTCTAAAATAATTCTCAACAATATAGAGCTTGTGGTGCAGCATCATAACTATGGAGATATTTGTGTCAGGTAGGAATAATTTTTTTATTCAAATGAAAAATATCCTGATTCCACTGCATATCTTTGGGATGGATCACTTATTAATGATAAAGATTCTGAAGACAATCTATAAAAGTCATCAGTACCAGATTCAGTGTCAGATGGTCTCTAACTCAGTTCTTAAAGAAACTGCCACAAATATTAACAGCATCACTATTCAATCAATGCCTCAAAATATAGTCTTATTTATTTTAGCAAATACAGTGTTGTCTGATACTCAGCAGATCCAACATGGCAACAAACATGAGCAGTCAGACGACCAGAGAGGTTGTAAACGCACCATATTATATCCAGATATAATCCAGATTATCTAAACCACTTTATTTAAAAGCAAAATAGAACCTGCGCCTGAAATGTTTGTAATAATCTCTTGGTGGACAGAAAAACTGTGCATAACTACAGTAAGCAGAAGAGGTCAAAGTCCAAGCAGGAAGTGTTTTGAGTGTTTACAACGGACAGTTTGGCTAACAATTTTACTGTTTGCTTTTCTTGTCTAAATTTGGCTAACCTGGAGGTTTGTTTCCAATCTGTATGATCGTCTGACTCGTGTTTCTTGCTAACATCAGCTTTGCCAAATTCACTATTTCCATGACTCTGTAGGGATGAAGGAAATGGAGAGCATCACTCCTAAAGTGGCGTCCTTTTGTCACTTACAGGATTAGTTTGGTGATATTCTATATTTTTCGTCTTGCAGGTAAATCTCATTAAAAGACCAAAAGCAACAATGAAGTGATTTTACTCAAAAAGGATTATTTGGTATGATTTTGTCCCAAGGTTCCCTTATCTGAGGACTTTTGCTTTTTGATGTTTTATTACAGAAAGTGTATGAAAACCATGATTCTTACTCAGCGATACTGAGAATTTACAGCCTGACATTGACACTGCAGCTACCCTTGATGTGTCTGAAAGTGGAGCAGTCGAAGTTGGCCACCAGAGTCTTGTCGCCAATCTTGTTGGGAACAAAGAAGAACTTGAGGCATATTCGGTTGTTTGGCTTCAGATCTGGAAACCTGTGGGTAACACAAAGAGTAATAAGAATAACAATAGTTTGAGGGTCACACTGTATATTTATATTGACTGGTGTTACCCAGATTTTGGATGGCAGTGTTGTGCAGTAAAATGTCTCAACTGTATTGAACCACAATAACATATTGAAAACTGTCAAGTACCAAAAGCTAGTTTCCAATCTCTCATTAGATTCATAATATTGTATGCTTATTCTTTGATCTCAGTTCCTGATTTAAGTCAAATTTTTACTTTGGGAAATTCTGGTTGCTTATCAGACCAAGTTGAAATTGAAGTCATCACTTTGTAATTATTGGTGACATTTTATAGACTGTAAAATAAATAAAGATAACCCACAGACTGATCCATTGTAAAAACAATTATTTGTTATTTGGACCTACTGTAAGCAGCATAAAACTTTATACAGGATCATCCCCATGACGTTATCTTAGACACACACTCACGTTTTTACAATCTCCTCTTTCAAAAGGCCACTTCCAGTTAGAGTCAGGGTGCAGTCCTTCAGCGTCTCGTCAACTGGGTTCATAAAAACCACTTCCCCAGATGCCTCACAGTTCCATCTGGTTGGACTGGAAACCTGGAACACACACATTTTAACAGATAATTCAAACACACTCAGTCAGGTAACTAAACTGAAACAACACTACCCATCATGCATGAAGATGAGAGAGAAAAATGGAGAAACAAGGTGGGAAAGCCCAAATAAAAGGTACAGTATGTTCTTAATGCCGAGGAGTTTGCAAAGTATGCTTAAAGGGATATCTTATTATATCATGTCTGTAATCACAAAATTCCAAATATTGGTAGTCTGTAGAAAACAATTAACCTCATTGCAAACATTTTTTTGTCAGTAATGCTTTATACTATTCTGGTTCTTAGTGGGACTAAACTTATTTTCATAAACATAAAGTACATGTTTCTTTGTTTATGTGTGTGAGGGCAAACCCTGCAGCAGCACACTGATTTAGCTCACACACTGAACACATTGCACTTACATAATAATCTTACCAGTGGGGAAAAAATATCAAAAAGTAAGACAGCCTGTAGTTTACAGGTAAAACCAACACATATATATTAGTAAAACAGCAATCAAAAAAATACATCATCACAGAGCTGCGCATGGCTGTAGAGTCCTGTTATATGGTCTTGTTTATAAATTGTCTTGTTATATATATATATTATAACTAAGACCCAGACTTTGAGTATGATAAGAGATACTAACAGCTCTAACTAGTGTAACAGACACCTGAACAAAGTCTGATGACAGGTGATAGATAGATAGACAGAGAGACAGAGGTTTTCTACTGACGGTGATGGAGATGGGAGGGTTAAGCAGCACAATGTCCTGCGCAGCCAGGTATATGTTATTTGGCTTCTGTTTGTCCGTGACCATGACTGAAACCTTCATGCTTTCACACTTCACCATGTGTTTATTGTAAGCCAAGAATGGGACCAGGATAGGGATGGACAGATCTTCAAGAGACAAGAGGAAGAAAAGAGAGATTTCACATCGGTTCAGTTTCACAAAAACATACAGTACTTTGAGATATCTGTCTTCGAGAATTTTGCATCCAAAATTCAAAAGCAACATCTCTGTCCAGAGTAATATCTACAGACGAAGATTCACCTCTCCCAGGCTGCAGTGTCTCCTTTTTCACCTCAGTCTGAATGGTCATAGCTGGTGAGCCGTTGTACCTCATGGCTTGGACACTGATGTTGATAGACAGCGGCCTGGCAGCATTGCCCTCAGTGCCCAGCACCAGCTTTAGGCTCACATCCCTGCCGTTCATCGGTTTGGACACCTGAAGCACCCCACAATGAGAAAAATAATGATGTACTGTCATTCACAGACCTATCCTGTATACAGGGATATCACCCCATTGAATCCTGTGTGAGCCAGAGCTATAAACAATTTTCAGTATAGTATAAGTGACTAATCATCTGCTTTATTTACTTTTAACCAAAGTCCTAACCAGTGGGTTGCAGAGATTCTTTGAGGGATGGTGGCAAAAACGGCTCCAACAAGGACACTAAAAATGATCAAAGGAATAATTTCTACTGGGGATGGAGGGACATGTGCACCTCACTTTAAGAGTTTCAGGTTGGTTTTCTTAATTTTTGGGGGTTTTTTTACCTGTCCTGCCCGGCAGCCTGGAATGAGTATGAGGTGCTGGATACCATATATTGTGCCAGACTGATTTTACTTTAACAAGAGAGTATTAATATACTCCTTTGTCTGTATTGTTATTTATTCAAATTTATTTGTCACCAGGCCAGACAGGGGACAGACATGGGGATGGGGAACAGAAACACCACATAAACAGACAGCACAGAGAGAGGGCAACACCTGCAAGAGAACGGGGATAGGGGGTGGGGACAACAGGAAATAGCAGAAGGAAACACCAATTGCAGAAAGCAACAAAACCTGCAAGAGAACGGGGAGGGGGGCTTGGGGCAGAGAAAAACAAACAACAAACAAAAAACAACAAACACAAAATAAACAAACTAAAACAAAGAGACAACCAGCCGAATAGCAGCAATAAACAGCTGACATAGGAAGACAATTAAGAGAGAAATGAAAACAGGGAAAATAAATAAATAAATAAATCAGGCAACATAAATAAACAAACAATAAACTGAGATAACAACAATAAATTTAAGTAACTGAATGAAAAACATCAAGAATAATTCTACCGAGGAGAACCTTTGTTTGTGTGTGTGTCTACATGTGTCTGTGCGTGTGGGTGAGTGTGTCTGTACATGTGTATGTGTGTGTATATAATTGTGTAAATAAGCCTGTTACAGAATGTAGTTCATAGTGAGAGCGGGATGCCACAACCGGGCCACACTGTCTCCAGCGACAGGCAGGCAAGACCCCCAGTAGCCAATAGGGGTGGGACAGAGCTCAACTCCCAGACAAACCGCTGCGGTTTTCTTACTAAAGTGTCCCTGAATAGTGTTGTCTTACTGCCCCCATAGTCCAGAAGAGAGAAGATCTGAGTTGATTAAAACACTGATGGTCATCTCGGTCACAGTAAAAAGCAAGAAGCTTAATAAACAGCAGCGAGCGATGCAGCACCTGCATGGTGTACTTTTCTGCCCTGGGCTCGCCTCTCAGGCTACAGTACATACAGGTGCTTTTCATTATTGGTGAAGGTGGTTGTATACAACATCAAAGAAATACCTATAGAAATACTCAGGGCACAAAGTGCGTGCACATGCCATTAAGGGCCTCTTAACATTGGCTATCTGTAGTGCTCCAGAGTATGGTGAACCACACTTCAATGTAATTTGGCATAATTAACTGACCATAAGTAATGCTGAATATATGCCAAATAGATAAAAATAAAAAATCCAGCAGCCTACACATTTCTCAAATGTCATAAATTTTACATGAAATTTATCAGCAATAAACAGTGGTTATGATAAAAGTAGTGCAGACTTCAAGATGCAAGAAAAGAACAAAAATAATTACGATGCTCTTAGCTTTTGACTAGTGGGAATGAGGCACTTACAATCATTTCTAAGAGCATCTTAAGTTACAATGCTTCTGGTAAACACTTCTTTAGCTTATGAAGGTCTGAAAGATGAATTTTATAATCTTCATAATTATTTAGGGAAATGCTGCCCCGTTGAAACAAATGTCTCTCTCTTTGAGGAGTTACTGTAAAAATCACTTGAAGGATAATTTGTGACAGTCCCCCCAAAGGCTCCATTGTCTTTTGTGTTCATCATCTACATGCAAAATCTTAAACTCCACCAACTATACAACACTACCACACATACATAATTACAGTTATAACACCAAAAAGAAAAACCTCAGAAACTAATAATTTCACTTAAAATAAGATATAAAACATCCTGTTCAATAACTCTAAAGGGAAACTTTGGGTACTGTGACGAACCTCTTCAAATCGTATGGACAGTGGAGTGATGCAGTCTGGGGTTACTTCATCATTCACCTTCATCGGTCCACTCTCGACTGGCTTTACATTGGGGGAGAGTCTGCTGACAGCGTATTTGAAGACAGACCTCTCCTTCTCTGATCCTGTTAGGGTAGTAATTCAGTCAATTTCCACTGTTCTTCAGTTGCTACAGCTGAAGTTTGTGTGTGATCTGTTTGTCAGATGAACCCACCCTCTCTGTATTTGTAAGAGTCGGTGATGTCCATCCTCTTGTTGGAGCCAACAGACTTGGTGGAGATATTCTGACCAACTCGTTTAGTATCAGACAAGATATTCACTTTTGAACCGTCAGCTTTGATCTGACATGACACACAAACACAGACAATAGAAACAAAACATCTGAAACAAAATTAGCTTTTTGAAATTTGCTGCAGACCTCAAATATATATTTGATCTATCTCTCTATCTATTTATCTATCTATATAGATATAGATATAGATATAGATTTGAGCTGCTCACTGACCAGCCAGTCAATACAGTCGGCATTGACCTCTGCAAAGACAAATGGTACGTCATATTTCAGGTCTGTGTCTCCGTTAAGAATGGCTGTGACCGAGGCAGGACCGCAGCAGTATACACCTACAGGAGGACAGACAATTAAAATCATAAAATGGAGTAACAAACTTCTCAACTGACATTGAAGGTTTTTGTTCCACAGAACAGTTTTCATCCTGACCTATTGTGTAATGCGACTTTAAGCCACTATCTGTAGGATTTAAAATGTTCTTACTTTGGTGCCACATGGTGGTCGCATGATGAAAGCTGTGTTTGACTTTGATCCAAACAAAAACCTATGCCTGTGCCATCATAACTTGCTGTAGTCACATAGAGCTTGTAGACATAGTCCTGTTATACAACAGGAGTACTATGGCAAATCAATAAAACGGGCAGCGTAACTGTAAGTGTAGAGCTAAGAGGATTAGTCGATTAGTCAATTGAGAGAAAATTTATCCACAACTATTTTGATAATTGAAATATTGTTTTAGTCAAATACCAAATATTTGTCGGTTCCAGCTTCTCAAATGTGAGGATTTTGGGCTTTATTTGTCCTACATGTAAGCAAACAGGATAAGCAAGCAGGATGACGTGGGTGTGTTGTTGCAGGTGAAATGCAAAACAGCAAATTCAGTTTGAGCATTCTTTTATTTATACTCCTTTGTTCAACCCTGAACCCTTTTTATGTGTGCTTGTACATATTTGATTAGCCACTGCAGTTTGTTTGTGACTTTGTTGCACTTCCTTGCATTCACTTCCCCATGTGTTCTGCAGAAGCAATGATGAGGAAGCCAGAGTTTTTTGCTGCAGTGATGTTAATCTTCACTACTACTACTAGCCAGTTATACACATGCTTTGTTTCGTATATTCATGCCCCCCAGAGGATCATTATAATGTTTTCATTGATTCCTGATCTTGATAGCACCATGAGGTCAAAGTTTCCTCTTGAGCACAAGAAATATAAACATCTGTCAGGCAGATTACCCTGATATTTTCTGAGAACAATTATGAACCCCAAAGGATGAAACCTTTTCATTCATCTCCATGAGCTTTCTGCTTGTGCCACCAAAATGTTCAACTGTTCACACAAGACATCTGAAGTTAAATCATTATTAGAAACTAAGAATATGCTTCTAGAAATGTTAATTTGCATGAAAAGATAAAACCTTTTTATTCACAATCCCTATTTGGATGAAATTGGATTTATTGAATTTAATGGATTTATTTTACATCAATAAAATCTCAGATTAGAAGGTCAGGATGTACAAATAGGACAAGAAACAAGGTCATTAGAACAGGAAATATGTACCAGTTTAAGTTTATGGAGATAAACAAGTGAGTCTGTACCATCGCTCTTCTCCTGTGGTGTTGGGTCCAAAACTTGCCAGCCGTCATATTTGCCGTCTTTTGCCAGGTCTGGCCGCCTCATCCACCCCTCCACCCACACGTGGAAGTTCCTAAAACAAAAAACATTAGTCTGATTCTGCAGCAGTGCAGTAGGATGAGACAATCTATCAGGTTTTGGTTTGAAAGAAGTGTACATACTACAGCACCTGAAATTATATTCAACAATAATACTCTTTCTTTAAAGAACTGCTCCGAACATGTTTAAAGACTTAAAAATACATAGAATAGTCCAGCCCCCTTCAGCAGATGAATGTGTCTTTTAGTGTCAAACTCTGCACATGCATCATTCTGCACAGTGAGGGTCCAACATCAAGTGAATAACTATAAACAAAACACATTTAGGATGTTTGGGATTATTTTGAAAACTATTGAAAAAGAAATCTAATTTAATCAATATTTTTATATTGACAATGGATCACATTACTGCTTATATGTAAAAAAGGTTTTTTTTTGGTTCACTCTCACCACTCTCATAGTGTCGTTTCCAGCCTCAGGATGCTGCTGTTTTTGATTAAAAAATAAATAAAAAGCTCTTAAATCCCCTCTGTACACTACCTGCTCTGCACCAAACAGCAGACATAGTTAGCTGTCAGCTGGAGAAGAAAGTGGATAATTTAGCAGCTAAAGAGCCAGATTAGTTTGTGGAGACCAAACCGGAGCTAAAAGGAGAGAGAATTTGAATAAATGCTAATATTGCACTGTGCCTGCTGGATGCATGTATGCATTCCTAACACGTTTGTCAGTTTTGTGATTACAGTGTTTTTCCACTAACACAAATATTTGCTCTTCTCCTTAATGGCAGTAAAGCATTACCTTCAACAGTCCTCATGCTGCACATAAATGACTTTTAAAGTTCACCTAATGTTAACTTGAGGCTTCAGCAGTCTGACTTAAGTGAAGATGCCTACTTGATTTGTTGACTCAGACTTCTAGAGCATTATATTAGCTTCAGCTGAAATGCATTTTTGCACAAAACAAGGAAAGTAAGACAGCTACTTTGGGAATTTGGGGTATTTTCATGGCCAGTATTGACAGGAGGAATGATAACAGCGACCAGCTCTTTCAATGGACATATGGCATGTGATTATTATCTATTTTATACTTACTACTACTACTACTACATATGGTTCCTATGGATATATCAGTCAAATGACAGATATATGTAACTTCTATAATGAAAAAGGAAATAAAGCAAGCTAACCGAAAGTGTTTGGTGAATAAAACAGTGTGGTGTGAGTGGTGCTCTGGAGTTGTGCAAGTTTGATGGACTTGAAGCTCACACTGGTCTGCATCTTGCCATCTGTGCATTCTCAAAGTAAGAAATTGTAGATTCTTTGTCTCACCAAATACTGTCAGGGGATTCTTTCTCTCTCACTCCGTAGTCGGCGTAGTACATGTCGATGACCAGATTGCTGTTGTTGTCGTGGGCTGACTCGAAGTTGGTGACCACACGGCAGGGGATGCCCAGCAGGCGCATTACTGGAACCACACACAGAGATTTGAGTCATTCAAATAAGTTCATTTAAAGTAACTACAGCTGTCACATAAATGTAATAAAGGTAAAAAGTACAATATCACTCTCTGAGATGTAGTGGAGTAGAAGTGTCATGAAAAGAAAATACTCAAGTAAAGTACAAATACCTCGTTTCTTTTTTACTTAAGTACAGTACTTGAGTCAACATACTTATTTGCTGTCAATTTTACAAAAGAATTAGTTTCATACATTTCATTAAATAAGTAAATAAATCATTAAAGGTGTGTGTGTGTGTTAAATAATAATTACAATAAAATAAAATAAAATACATAAAGTAAAAACAAATATTAAAAAATAAACATAAATAAGTAAAACAGTAAGTGTGTGTGTGTTGCTAATTAATTTCATATTGTTCATCAAATGAATGAAATAAAAAATAAATAAAACAGTAAAATGCAGCTGTTATTTATGGATGCAAGCTGTTACATCCAGAAATCCATCCAATCCAAGTGTCATGTGATCAGTGTCAAAATAATGACTTAATAATAGTAATAATTACTTGCATTGCCCAAACAGTCCCAGACCCACGCACATTCAATTTGAAGCAATAAAAAACAGAGAAAAGCAGCAAATGCTCACATTTGAGAAGATGGTAACAGCCAATGTTTGGGATTTTACCTTAATGAATGGCTTAATTAAACAATCCATCAACTGACAAATAAATTATTTGAGTAATTGTTTCAGAACTAGCATTTATCTTTCCAGATGTTGTTCCAGGTGTGAGGACCTGCAGAGTCAGATGTTACTGTACCTGAGCACATCACACCGGCGAACACCCAGCACTGCCCGTACTTGACCGGGCTGCAGTCAGTATTTATCCACTGCTTAAGAATGGCATGACTGCCATTCCACTGAAAGGGTGGGACCCCGTCGCAAAATGAACCGTCCCAGCGTCCCAGCAGGACACCACGGTCGTCATTACAGTTGACCTGAGACAAACAAGGAAATTATCATAAGGTGACTTTTTTCTCAAAACTACATTTTCATTCTTCCCCTCCCAAGAATGACCCAAACACACCAAACACTTGCCATATATATTGAGGATTACATCTTAAACTCTCTACCTCGTCACTGTCCTCTCTCCTTCTGTCACTTTTTGCAGGTATTTCTACCTCCGGAGCTGTAGAGTCTGGATCTGCGGTTGCAAGCCACCTACCACACCTAATCTTCCTGCACTATACCTACTGCTGCAATTGATATTATTAGTCCTGTGAATTGCTATTCTAATTGTTTTCATATTTTTATTATTGTCACTACCATTACATTTAATATTTTACATCTCTATGTGGAACCTGCATTGTGCTACTGTGTGCTCTCTGGCCTCTTTCTGTACTGCACAGCATTGATTTGAGCTAAACGCTGATCTAGGCATGCTAACATGCTCACAAAGATAACTCTAATATTTGTATATAAATGTATAGTTGGTATAATGTATCATGTTCACCATCTTAGTTTATGTTAGAATGCAAACATTTGCTAATTAGCCCTGAAGAAGTTAAGCTGAAAATCCCACTTTTACTGTCATCTAGCGGTGGAAAGTTTCAATTGGCATCGCATCATTGCTGGATTTTGGTACTCAAAAAACTCAAAAATGTCCCTTAAAAAAGCCCATAAATATCTGTGAAACATTTCTTTGCTGCTATAAAAGGTTTGTGGAGGTATGTTTAAAAAACACAGTGTGACCTACCATGGCGCTGACCACACGGCTGACGTAGATGGGGTTACAGCGCGCAGAAACATCGTCAGCTGGGCCATTCAAGTGTTTGTTGTTCATGTCCAACATCTTCAAACAAATGTCCACCATGTTGTGTTCAAACTGGGCAGAAGCAGACAGGAAAAGAGGAGATGCTCTTTTTGCTCTTATTGTATTTTATTTATGGTAATACATTGGGATTAACTGCAGATGTTTATAGTATCAACTGCTCAGCAGCGGGTAAAGGTCAGAAACTAAAATATAAGACATAAAATTCTAAATTGAACATCTGGGATACTCAGGATACCCCTGTCTGGGACATCAGACAACAGATAGATGGATAGATAGATAATTTCCGTGATATAAATTTAATGGCATTTAAATGTCAACAGAAAGTATTCAACAGTGATTCAATTTTACAATTAGGTATTCAATTCCTTATAAGCATAAAATCTTTATGGCCATTACGTGCTTCCAAAAAACTCTCCACAGGATTGAAGATGGGGAGAGGTCTGTGTTTAGGGGATGAAATAAGCAAATGTGATTGGCTTTCACAACCTCGATAATCCACTATGTAAAATAAGTATGATAATAGTTTATTTTATGATGCAAGAGCGCCACTGGCCACAAAATTACCTATAAAACATTAAACTGTGCTGGCACACCCTGGGTGCTCTGGATATGCCATACCTGATTGTGATTCGTGCCACACGTGTTGAAACGTAGAAGAAGAAAAATGTCGTTGATCAACAACAGTGTTACTAATGTGGCCATTTGTGGTCTGACTGTGCATTGGGTTTAATGTCAGTCAGTTTTGTCTATGTATGTGTGTATATGTGTGAGTGAGTACCTGTCCGTAGTCCCAGTTCATAGGGGAAATGTAGCTGCCACTTCCTCGGTAGATGATTCCTTGTTCATTCATTACATACTCCTGCCTCTGCTCCCCATCAGACAGAAACACCCAGTCATCTGCAGAGAGAGTGAATTAATTCAGACAGACAGACAGACGATAGGTCAATAGATTAGATAATATATGTTATAAGTTCAGATCTTAACTTAAGTAAAAGTACATCATCAGCAAAAGGCACATAGATTATCAAAAGAAGATATAGATAGCAATATATATCAAAATAACAATCTATATAACAATAGACTGACATCTTACCAGGACACCAGGGGTTGAAGAGCACCACCGGCGTTGCCAGTAACATTTTCTCATCCCTGTGCGTCACATACATCAAGTACTCCCCTATGGGGGTGTCGGCCGGGGGCGTAATGGTCAGGTTCAAGAGGCCTGTTAGTGGGGAGGAACTCTTGTGAAGCGCTATCTTCCACACTGCCTTTGCTGATGGTGAACCCTGCACTCTGTCTGGGACACTGAAGAATGACATCGTCCCCCGAACATCGGACGGGTGTTTTCCTGAGGAGAGGAGACACAGAGGGAGGCAGACATTCATTTACTGTTGTAACAAAACCATCTGTTGGTTTTTACTGACTGTGATTCCCTCATGGTCAACAAATCTCTTAAAAAGGCCACACCCGGAATACTTACACTACAAATAAGTATTGTTTATTATATTGTTGTTACTGTGTCGTCAAAGCCTGACATAGCTGGGTTTTCCTCTATGCCTACTGCTCTAAAAAAGGCAGAGAGCGTTGACTGCAAAAGTATGCAAATTGAGTACAAATAATGTGACGTTTTCAGGCTAGTGAAAAGTACACCTAAAATGCAGAACTGCCATTGGACAATTACCAGGGGAAACATAGTATCTACAAACTAAATGTGTTCTGTGCAGACAGGATGCCGAATCGCTGTGAGACCATGCAAGTCACGTCATCTGAACACCGAATTTGAACTCATGTCCAACATAGCATGTTATGAATGTGTCACATTTATACTCTCAGGACTTCACGACCTGTTCCTAAACACTTGAAGGCACATTAACTACATATCGTGACAATGAAATTGTCTTGTATCTGATAAAACTCATTGTCAATTTAATCAAATTATTATTCTGATTGATTGGAAAGTCTACTATAGGCATTCATCGGATACATTCTTTAAAAAATGTTTTGATGTATTTATTATTGATTGATCATTTACTGGTGAACCTGTTCATCTTTATTTTAACACAATATTGTTTATATTTTTATGTATCTATTGAGAATAGGGGTTGGTGAGCTGCCTTCACTTGATCTCCTGTCTAGCTAGTTGTCTATCTGTGACAATATTACAGTCTGTTTTTACAGAAATTATACTTTTCTATGACATTATATGTTTTCATATGACAAATCAGATGCCAATTAGTGAGATTTCAGTCATAACTCAAGTTATAGGCTACTAAATATGTACAGTAGTTACTAAATTCTGCCTTTGTAGGACATCATAGACTTCCATCATTGTCCAAAAGCTTCTCCAAAAACAGGTTCTTAAGAAAGAACTTATAAATCACGACTGACAGGAAGTTTACGTGGAGGATACAAATGTATTATATGATGCATTTTCAGATACATTCTTGACATTCTATGACATTTTTCGTTGAAAGAATCTAGACAAAATTTCAAAAGTTTGGGAAAGCCATGGCTAACAAAAAATAGCCTCTATAGAGAATTTTCTCAAAACCGAAGAAAGGAAAATGAGAAACAGTATAAATCTCTTCTTTTGTTTCTTTTGTACTGCTGGTATTCTGCATTTTAGTGTAAAGGAATGGCAAGCCTTGGGCTTCAGCCTATTCCTTTTTTGGTTTTAAATGTTGCAAGTTATTTTGCGTGAGTGGATTGGTGTCGGCATAATATAGGATATTTGTAAATTGCATATTCACACAAATTGTCATTCTTTGTTCATTATAATTTAAACCAGAAAAAAACATTAATTCATTCATTTAATAAAGGACCAACCTGTCATTGCGACGATGTTGAGCGGGTAAAGGTCCGGGTTGAAACATTGCGTCAGTTTTAGGGTCAGGGTGAAGGGCTGGCCTCGCCTCACAATCAGCCGATCCACAGAGATTTCACTGGTGTGGTGTTCAGTGTTGTTGGTCTGACAGTGGAGGTCTACTCCCTTATAAACTGAAAGATATTAAACATACAAACATTAACAAGTGACTAGAAGCTCTTAATAGAATATGAGTACATCAGGTTAATCAAAGAGAAAGCAAGCTATGAAAAGTTCATCAACTCTTTAATATAAAATTGATTTATTTGATGACGGTAATTTGTAACTTTCCACTTTTCTTATAAATAGCAAATCCCCAAGTAGAAGAAGCAAAGACCTTGTTCATCCGTGACAATAAGAAATCATTTCATTAATTTGCTTTGACTAAATGCAATTTTTATGATCTTTTTCATGTTCTGAACTTGTGTACAAGGGAAACATATCAGATATAATTACTATCATTTTTATGGTTACCCAGAGTGGTCATGTAAAAAAGTATGTTAGTCATACTGTAAATTATTAAAATGCCATTAAGTTGTCATTCTGTCTGTTAGTACAAAATTTTTGTAAATATTATTTATTACATTATACGTTCAAATCTTTTTTTTAAATTATAGGTACAGACACAGTGCACATAATGAGTTTGTATTACCCCCCCCCCCCCCCCCCCCCCAGCGCCACCTACCCCTGACACTTTACACTCTGCTGACTATGTTTACATATTTTAAACACCTGATACTGATGAACAAAAATCCACGAAAGCCTCCTTTAAAATAAATAATAAAAGTAAGTTTTTTTTAGGATGCATGACATGTTTAGTAATTATATTAAACATTGCCAGCAGTGCATCTTCTGTAGCTGTGACTTTTTTTAAGCAAATCGAAGTGTTCAAAAAGCACTGGAATATCCTTGAAAGTCCTTTGATTCAAACACAATGCCTTTACATGCATCATTATATTAAATGGTAAAACATTAAAGATGTGAATAATTCTACATACTTTACTGTCCCATAGCTTATTTTGCATAGCGTTTTATCCCATATTTACCCACAGGTCAACATCAGACATTTGGCATTTTTAGCATGTTAAAACATCTACTGTAAATGTCCTGCTCATCACCAAACAACCAGACAAAGTTAGCAACTAGCTGATGAGAAATGTAATCTTACAACATTTTTTAAATTTAATTTCAGTCCACATTGACTCCTAAAATATGAAATTTCAGCTCACTAAGGAAAAGTGTATGCTTCTGCCCAAACATATGTAACCAAACACAACATTAAGGAATTCGTTCATTCACATACAATGTATGCAAACAGGTTGATGGTGTCTCACTGAATGCAGAGACCCACACAAGACAAGATATGATGATAAAGTTACTTAAATCAGATACCCATATTAAAAATTCTGGTGTACTTACCATTTTTTTTCACGTCGGCTGTCATCTTTCCAGAACTTTCTCTCTTAAAATAGTAGATGTAAAGACAGGAAAATGCACAGTGACAGGTGACTTAGTGCTGATTGATTTTAAAGCATCGTCCTGGCCCAACCCCTTCTCAAATTAACATATAACAGGTCTTGCAACCTGCATTAATTTCCTAGGAGCTTAAGCTGTGTTTCGACTTGTTACAGATGAATCAATCAAGTTGATACCACCATTGCAACCATTATCTCTCAAATGATGTGACACTGATTCACTGATTCCACTTATGTGATAGATGGAAGTTGCAACATGTATGACTTGAATGTGCTGATGTAATAACAATCATGTTTCAAAATGAATAAATCCCTATTTGCTCCATATTACCTTAGCGTTTTAAATAGTTAGATCACTGTTGGCTTGAATGATGTAACATCTCTTATTACTGATGCTGTGATGTGACGTGATGAAAGTTTCAGGTGTGGAATGTGTCTATGGATGTGTTTGTGTGTGTGTGTGTGTTTGTGTGTGTGTGTGTGTGTGTGTGTATGTGTGTGTGTGTGTGTGTGTGTGTGGGGGGGGGGGGGGGGGGGGGGGTGGGATTGTTTGATTCAGTATCTGTCTGTCTGAGACAGATTTTAAACCACGCCATTGTTAATTTCTCCATTTTACATTTTAAGGGGCATTAAGTGATCTGTGACCTTGTGGAAACTCATTGTGTAATAACGTTATGCAAATTGTATGTCATTGTCTGTAACATTGTACCCAGTATGATGCACGATTTTGATCACTTGCAGGTAAAACATCCAGACATCCAGAGTAAAAAGTTTTTAGATAGAAAAGAATACAACTTTTGAGTGTAAAATGGTCTTTCTCACCAAAACATAAAAGCAGCCTAACAGGTAAATGCTCCGTACTTGTATAGCACCTTTCTAGTCTTTTCGACCACTCAAAGCGCTTTTACACTACATCTGCATTCACCAGTCACACACATTCATGCACTGGCGGAACATTCGGGGTTCAGTATCTTGCCCAAGGACACTTCGACACGCAAGGGAGCGAGGGATTGAACCGCCGACCTTCCGATTAACAGCCAACCCGCTCTACCTACTGAGCAGCCGCCCTATATGTTACATGTAAAACAAGTAACATATCAACTGAGACAAGGCTAGACTACAATACAATACATAAGAAAGATTATAGATAAAAAGTGTGCTGAGTCCAAAACAGATAAAAAAGAACAGATGAGAATGATTTGTTAGACTCCTTTATCCTGAAAGTATGCATAGATGATCATATCTTAAATCTTATCATCCCTGGTCTATATATTGCTACTTTTGCATGAGAAAAACCACACCCTGAGAGGCATCTGTAGAGAGCAAGTCAGACATTGTTTCTGATACAGACTCTCTGTGGTCGATTAAATTAAGTCACCATTAATCCAAATATCGATGCGTCTTTGTTAAAGGACATGTGCATTTAAAGAGTTAATAGCTGAACAAAAATCCACGAAAGCCTCCTTTAAAAAAATAAAAGTACGTTTTTTTTAGGATGCATGTCATGTTTAGTAATTATATTAAACATTACCAGCAGTGCATCTTCTGTAGCTGTGACTTTTTTAAAGCAAATCGAAGTGTTCAACAAGCACTGGAATATCCTTGAAAGTCCTTTCATTGGAGGGCAAAATCTTTAAGGACATGTGCCTTTGGGTGTCTAGGTTCACATAACTATTGTCTTAACAGCATTTCAGTAACTATATTTCTGTGTAGTTGAGTAGTGATTTACAATGAAAAATTGTCAAGTTAAATGGCAACATGTAACCTAGACGTTCTTCAACCTGCATATCACCAAATCACTGCTCATAGTTGCAGACTATTTTGACGAGTCAAAATCATCAGCATTGCTGCATTTGTCCTGACGCAAAAAAACAAAGTGTCATCACCATCTTCAGTTTAACTGAAAACCATAAGCATTACTGCGTAAAGTCAGTGGTGAGATGACGTCCCTCACCAACTCGCTGACAAGGAGTATGTCTGCGCAGTCTGACCCCGTCTGATTAACTGCTCGGCGTCAAATAATTCGGAAACAATATTCCTCTCCTGAAAGATTTGAGCATGTCTCTGTCTCCACAGTCCATCACAGGCCCTACTGACAGCTCCAAACCACTTGAGAGACCTCTCTAAATAACTGGGAGAGTAAGAGTGATTCTTAGCATTAAGGAATTTGATAACTTGCTTTTATTCTTAAGTTTAAAAGTAGGAGTAAATTTCATGATTTCTCAGCATTTAAGAATAAAATGGCACTTTGAGAAGCTTGATAAATACCGGCCCAGGCTCTGCACAACCTCAGTTGAGTTAACTGAGCGTGACCCCTCCCAGGCTCAACTGGGGCATTGAACTCAGTATCTGTCTGTCTGAGACAGATTTTAAACCACGCCATTGTTAATTTCTCCATTTTACATTTTAAGGGGCATTAAGTGATCTGTGACCTTGTGGAAACTCATTGTGTAATAACGTTATGCAAATTGTATGTCATTGTCTGTAACATTGTACCCAGTATGATGCACGATTTTGATCACTTGCAGGTAAAATACCAGACAAACATCCAGACATCCAGGTTAAAAAGGTTTTAGACAGAATAGAAGAGAATACAACTTTAGAGTGTAAAATGGTCTTTGTCTCACCAAAACATAAAAGCAGCATGAGCACAGGTAGGCTAACATGTAAAACAAGTAACATATCAACTGAGACAAGGCTAGAGTACAATACAATACATAAGAAAGAATATAGATAAAAAAGAGTGCTGAGTCCAAAACAGATAAAAAAGAACAGATGAGAATGATATGTTAGACTCCTTTGTCCTGAAAGTATGCATAGATGATCACATCTTAAATCTTATCATCCCTGGTCTATACATTGCTACTTTTGCATGAGAAAAACCACACCCTGAGAGGCATCTGTAGAGAGCAAGTCAGACATTGTTTGTCTGATACAGACTCTCTGTGGTCGATTAAATTAAGTCACCATTAATCCAAAGATCGATGAATCTTTGTTAAAGGACATGTGGATTTTAAAGAGTTAATAGCTGAACAAAAATCCACGAAAGCCTCCTTAAAATAAAAATACGTTTTTTTAGGATGCATGTCATGTTTAGTAATTATATTAAACATTACCAGCAGTGCATCTTCTGTAGCTGTGACTTTTTTAAAGCAAATCGAAGTGTTCAACAAGCACTGGAATATCCTTGAAAGTCCTTTCATTGGAGGGCAAAATCTTTAAGGACATGTGCCTTTGGGTGTCTAGGTTCACATAACTATTGTCTTAACAGCATTTCAGTAACTATATTTCTGTGTAGTTGAGTAGTGATTTACAATGAAAAATTGTCAAGTTAAATGGCAACATGTAACCTAGACGTTCTTCAACCTGCATATCACCAAATCACTGCTCATAGTTGCAGACTATTTTGACGAGTCAAAATCATCAGCATTGCTGCATTTGTCCTGACGCAAAAAAACAAAGTGTCATCACCATCTTCAGTTTAACTGAAAACCATAAGCATTACTGCGTAAAGTCAGTGGTGAGATGACGTCCCTCACCAACTCGCTGACAAGGAGTATGTCTGCGCAGTCTGACCCCGTCTGATTAACTGCTCGGCGTCAAATAATTCGGAAACAATATTCCTCTCCTGAAAGATTTGAGCATGTCTCTGTCTCCACAGTCCATCACAGGCCCTACTGACAGCTCCAAACCACTTGAGAGACCTCTCCAGCTGTCTTAAATAACTGGGAGAGTAAGAGTGATTCTTAGCATTAAGGAATTTGATAACTTGCTTTTATTCTTAAGTTTAAAAGTAGGAGTAAATTTCATGATTTCTCAGCATTTAAGAATAAAATGGCACTTTGAGAAGCTTGATAAATACCGGCCCAGGCTCTGCACAACCTCAGTTGAGTTAACTGAGCGTGACCCCTCCCAGGCTCAACTGGGGCATTGAACTCAGTATCTGTCTGTCTGAGACAGATTTTAAACCACGCCATTGTTAATTTCTCCATTTTACATTTTAAGGGGCATTAAGTGATCTGTGACCTTGTGGAAACTCATTGTGTAATAACGTTATGCAAATTGTATGTCATTGTCTGTAACATTGTACCCAGTATGATGCACGATTTTGATCACTTGCAGGTAAAATACCCAGACAAACATCCAGACATCCAGGTTAAAAAGGTTTTAGACAGAATAGAAGAGAATACAACTTTAGAGTGTAAAATGGTCTTTGTCTCACCAAAACATAAAAGCAGCATGAGCACAGGTAGGCTAACATGTAAAACAAGTAACATATCAACTGAGACAAGGCTAGAGTACAATACAATACATAAGAAAGAATATAGATAAAAAAGAGTGCTGAGTCCAAAACAGATAAAAAAGAACAGATGAGAATGATATGTTAGACTCCTTTATCCTGACAGTATGCATAGATGATCACATCTTAAATCTTATCATCCCTGGTCTATACATTGCTACTTTTGCATGAGAAAAACCACACCCTGAGAGGCATCTGTAGAGAGCAAGTCAGACATTGTTTGTCTGATACAGACTCTCTGTGGTCGATTAAATTAAGTCACCATTAATCCAAAGATCGATGAATCTTTGTTAAAGGACATGTGGATTTTAAAGAGTTAATAGCTGAACAAAAATCCACGAAAGCCTCCTTTAAAATAATAAAAGTACGTTTTTTTTAGGATGCATGTCATGTTTAGTAATTATATTAAACATTACCAGCAGTGCATCTTCTGTAGCTGTGACTTTTTTAAAGCAAATCGAAGTGTTCAACAAGCACTGGAATATCCTTGAAAGTCCTTTCATTGGAGGGCAAAATCTTTAAGGACATGTGCCTTTGGGTGTCTAGGTTCACATAACTATTGTCTTAACAGCATTTCAGTAACTATATTTCTGTGTAGTTGAGTAGTGATTTACAATGAAAAATTGTCAAGTTAAATGGCAACATGTAACCTAGACGTTCTTCAACCTGCATATCACCAAATCACTGCTCATAGTTGCAGACTATTTTGACGAGTCAAAATCATCAGCATTGCTGCATTTGTCCTGACGCAAAAAAACAAAGTGTCATCACCATCTTCAGTTTAACTGAAAACCATTGTAGAATAGAATACAACTTTAGAGTGTAAAATGGTCTGTTAGATCAGGTCTGCAGCAGG